AGGGCTGGCCGGTCCCCCTCGTGCGCTCCCTGGTTGGGGTGGGGAGGGGAGCAATCCAGGCTGGGGTGAGCGCCCCGGGGAACTGGGAATCCAGCGGGGTGCGTGGAGAATATTGGCCCTTTCCAGGTACCCTCAGGCAGCACAGCCTCCTTTCCCGGGTCTTCTCAACTTCTTACCCACTCCTTCAAGGGGAGCTGCCCCCAGGTCCCCTCTGGTGGGGGAGAAGAGGTTATGGAGGGCAGGGCCCAAAGAGGAGGCTTCCCGCGGGATGGCTGGGTCGCCTCTCATTCCTGGGGTGCCCACAGGCTGCTGGAAGCACAACTGAGTGTGGGGGGAGGGGGGATAAGGGGAGCAGAAAGCAGAGAACAAAGCAGTGCCCGACCCCCTGCAGGCTGGGTCCTGTACCTGGCATCCGGGGGTGGCTTGTGCCACTGTGGACACGTGTGATATGCTCCGGCTCCCTCATCACCTCCTGGACGTGGTCATCAGACATCACCCGCAGAGCCCAGTTCTCAGGGTTTGGGAGGGATGGCCCTGGGGTCATAGCCCCAGGGTCTGTGCCTGTCCCTGCCGTGAACCTGGCTGGCTGCAGGGGTATACTGGGACATCAGAAGCCGGAGCCTGCTGTGGGGAGTGAGGAGCCCTGCCCAGACCCCGGCCCCACCCAGGGGGAGAAGTTCAGGCTCAGTACTTCTTAATCTCTTCTGTTCCCGGCTGACTCTGGGCTTGCCTGCTCCCCAAACCTCACGTTCTCACCACGCATGGAGTCTTGCAGAGAAAGTATGTGCTTAAAAATTTAGCTTTCAAAGGAAACACCAACGTCCCTTTGCTGGAAGCCAGCACGCGGGCTCAGAGCGACACGCATGGTTTGAACCTGCTGCTAATATCTGGGAGAGTGTTTTAGCTTCTCTGTACTTGATTGAGTCGTCTGTAAAATGGGAACATAGGTAGAATGGATGCTCCCAGGGGCCAGGCTGCTCCGGACGCTGTCAGTGCTGCAGCCGCAGGCCCTTGGGCGGTGAAGGCTGTTGAGTGGGTTGTGCGGGGACTTCAGAGGGTGAGGGGTCAAGAGCCCAGGGCAACAAAAGTTGCTTTAAATCCACCAAATTAGCCCAGGTTTGCTCTCTGGAAGACAAGCCCACCAGTTCAGTGAACAGGTCTTGGGACTGGGACCTGAGTGTCCAGGTCGCAGAAGGAAGTGATGATGGCTCTGGACTGTGTTGGACCCTCAGGGGCTCATCCTTGCACCCACAGGAACGGCGGGTCCCACCACGGACCATGCCATGTGCTCGCCTCCGCGCGGAGCAGCAGGGGGAGGCAGCAGCTAGCGGCCCCCGGGGCCTCTTTGCCGACCAGCCGCAGAAGCCACTTAGGACGCCGCCAGCGGAAACGTGCTCCCCCTGGAGCGCTTTAAGCCCGCTGTTTGGTTTCCAGCCCCTTGACCTTTCCACTAAGCTGGCCTTCTTTTCAAAGATTTTGAGACAGCCTAGGAGCTTTAAAAAATCATAAAAGGCAACTTAGTGCAAATATTATGACAAGGCATTTGCTTAAAACCACAGAGGAAAAGTCACTCAGAAGGCCTTACTTTACAAAGTGGGCAGCAGGCCCTCGTCCAGGGTTCCCGGTGGCTTTGAACCCCTCTGTGCACAGAGGAGCCCGGGCGACGCGGCAGCCGGAACCTTCCAGCTCCGAGACGTTTGCTCCTTTCTCTTCTGATTTCCCGAGACACGGGTGCTTCCCAAACAGCTGGGACCCTTTAAGGAAAGCTCCAGTGAGGCGCTGGAGACAGGCCGAGCTTGTCCGGCTGTGTCCACCAGGGAAAGGACCGCACCCTTGGCCGGGCCCTGCGCGGGAGCTGCCCCAGGCCAGCCCGAGAGCCTGGGGGCCTGCTGCCCCGCTCCCGCCACTCCAAATGCCGCATGTCAGCGGGGAGCTGGCCCGTCCCTGCAGGTCAGGGGCTGAGATCCGTCAACGAGGTGCCTGCGTTTCTGGGGGAAGCAGGTGTGACGGCTGAGAGGATGGCAGGCACCTGGGTGGCTCCGGCTTCCGGGGACTCCCTGTGATGCAGGCGGGATGGCTGCTGACCAGGGTGATCACCTGGGCCCCGGACGAAGATCGCTGAGACACCAGAGGAAGGATGATGCCTGGATGTCCACCGCCACGGCGAGGGCGGTAGGGGTCCTGCTTTGCTTTACTTGCTAACAACTCCCAAGCCCCTGCAAGGCTGCCTAGTAGGGAGTTGGTGCTCCATGGACCTTTGCTGAACTAGTAGACAGTGAGACAGGAATGTGCAACGGCCTTTGTCTTTTTCCAACAAGCTTCCAAATGCATGAGGGTGTCGCTGAGGAGCCCAGGACAGACCCCTCTGGGCTGCACCCCCAGGCCTAGAGCTGTGGGAGGACTAGGGGCCTTTAATCATCTCAGGAGAACGGTTGGCCAGGAAGAGAGGCAGCCGCTGTGAAAAGGGCTTTGCTTTCCTGGCTACAAGAATTCAGTCCTTGGAGCCACATGTCATGGGGTCCCTCCCCTCTTGGAGATGTGTCCTTAGGACATGGTTCCTCTCTTTCCTGTGGTCCCCATACCACTGTCAGGCCACTCTTGCTAGAGAAGAAGAAGGCTTCTTCCCAAATTAAAAAATAAATAAGTTCACAGCAATACCTGTATCAGTTATCTATTTACCTATTGCTGCGTAACAAAGAAGCCCAAACTTAGCGACTTAGCAGCAAAACAAGCATTTTAGTGTTACTATTATTACTGTTTTTTCTCCTATGAGGCTACAGGTGGGTGGGGAGAAGTGTACGTTTATTTAGAGTCATTGGGAACACGTAATATGCATAGTTTGTAGAGCTTAGCCATGGCTTTTCCCACTCACAGCATGGAGATTGCACACGTCAGAACGTACAGCATCTCAGGGAGGATTTAAAAACAGAGCAATGCTTGTGCGAGTGTCACCAGCTGAGCAGCAGCCCTGGGGCCTCCTTCCAGCCTGGGAACCAGTCTCTACCATCACATCCTTGTCCCTCACGTGCCCAGATCGTCCTCGACCCTTAGCCCCTGGCCAGCTTTCTGGAAACGGGAGCTGTGTTCACAGGGAAGAGCCGGAAGAAGGGAGAGTGTGGCTGCCGGGAGGGCCTCCTGCGGCCTGGGGTGTCAGGCTGTGTAGGAAGGAGTGGCTTTGAGTCCTGGGCCCACCAGGCCCTGACCACGTGCTCTAGGAGAAGGTAAATCAACCGACCCGGCCTCGGTTTCCTTACCTGTGAAGTGAGACCACATCACTGGGTTGCTGTGGGCACCATGTGAGGGTGCGTGGCCTCCTGCCACGTGGAGGTCCCTGCGCCATAAACACTAGCTTCATAGCTGCTGGGCGCACCCCATCCTGGGCCAGAGGCTGCTCAGGGAGGAGGCTGGCCCAGCATGGGGCACACAGGTCCCCAGCACAGTGCCTGACTGTGGCGAGCATGTGGCCAGGGACGGAAGGTTAGCCACCAGAGGGACAGGG